CCCCAAAACCCCAAAACCCCAAAACCCCAAAACCCCAAAACCCCTTTTTAAATAAGTCAGTTTGAATACTAAAATAAATTAAAGATAAGCACTAATGGGGAATTGCTGAGGAGATAGCAAGGAAGCCAAGATCAAGCTGTATGAAGAAAGACTATACGCCTTGTGTATTAAATATAACTTTGATATCGATGTCAACCAACCTCTGTCTTTTAATGAAATGTTCAGGCGCGAAAATTGTAATGAAATGGGAGAGCAATTTAATGAAGATAGCTCTAAAATCATCATTATGGAGTTTAGAAAATTTCTCTTCATCACTGCCGCCGAAATGTCAAGGATCAGAAGAACCACTGGATACAAGAAGCTCAATCCTAGACAGTTTAATGATGGAAAAACTGCAGTGTGCTACGAGTGTCCATACAACGCTCCTCCTTATGTGGACCGTGTCTGGAGAGCAGTGATAGCATACGATGCTAAGTACAAGGATATTTGCTACAAGCTCTGCTTCGGATACCTCCTTAGAAAGGATCCAAGAGCGAATCTAGACCTTTCCTTTAAAAGATATAACGATTGCAGGTAAGTTTCGAGAAATATTTAAGTTAATAGTTTGTTAACAATTTATGATTGTTTACTTATAGACTGGATTTATATAAGAGATGTGAAAAGGTAGTCCCATTCCATAACTGCTGGCCAAAATATCATACTCAGGAGGAGTTCTATAATGATTTCGTATATACTGTGTGGGCCTCACCAACAACGATTAATAACTTTAAGCTTCACCTCGCAACAGTTCCAGTTCAACCAGGTACAATCAATGCACAACTCTTGATTGAAAATTCAAAGAAAATCAAGAGTGATTTTCAAAGAAGTTTCCCACCTGAATGTCAGGGAAGGCCAAATGGACAGCAAAATACAATGAACATGGCTGCTGTCGTGAACCATCCCTTCCTCAAAACTCAAGATCCAAATTGGAGGGCTGGAGCCTTAGTAAGAATCATGAAAGAATATCTTCCATTCAATTTTGACCAATATGTCTCACAAGAGCTGATGGTGTCAATTGACCAAGCTCAAGACATGATCTTCGAGTACAGAAGATTCCTCCTTTTATATGGCTTGACTAACTTCAAGCTATATCCAAGTGAGCAAATAGAGAAAGTCTGGTTAATACACATGTCATTCGGGGTGAACTACATAGATTTCTGCTCAAAGACAATTAACTTCGTTCCTTATCATGTGCCGTTCACAGGGAATACAACTGGTTATGACGACAGGACTGAATATAACAACACTTTGGGTTTCTACACTGCGATATTTGGAGTGCAGCCTTGCTCATCTTGTTGGCCGCCTGCTGAACTCAGATTCAATGTTGAAAATTTCCAATGCATGTTCATCAATTTAATCCGTCTGGCTGGCTTCTTCTGGGCCCATCAACTCGGAAATCTCTCAAACGGAAGTCCAACTTTGGCTCCTCGAAACAACATGGGAGCAACTCCTCAGTACGTTGAAAAGAAGGAAAAGATGAAGCATAAGAAAGGCTCAAAAGCCGGAATGATCGCTGCAGGAGTAGCCGTCGGAGCTGGTGTGATCCTCGTAGGAGGAGGGCTTGCATTGGTCGCATATCCTGACGCTGTTGATTATAACGACACGAATCTTCTGGATACCATCACAGATGGGCTCCATGATGGTCTCTCAGCACTAGGCGAGCTCTCCTTTGGAGATCTCGCAGATGTGGGAGAAGGAGCACTAGGAGTCTTTGAAGACATAGACTGGCCTGACATAGACTTTGATGGATTTGCAGATGTTGCTGGAGATCTCTTTGGAGATGCTGGCGAGTTCTTCGAAGGTGTGGGTGAAGCCATTGCAGATGGAGCTGGAGATGCTGTAGATGGCATTGGTGATGTTGCTGAAGGAATAGGAGATGCTTTTGATTGGTAAATCTTCAATATTTTAAACACTAATCGGGGTTTTGGGGTTTTGGGGTTTTGGGGTTTTGGGGTTTTGGGGTTTTGGGGTTTTGGGG